ACCAAATTGGATCCCCACATCTGAGCTATATAATCACCCAGGCATATTGATGTACGCGATTTTCAATACCGATATGGTCTGGCGACTTCGTGAACACAAGTCTCTCACGAATTCTCATTGGAAACGTGTTGGGTATTAATCCTGGTTCCAGTTTTACACGGAAACTGCTGGCCGAATGCGATTGCAGAACAAACGGCGGAGGTGGTCATCCAGTCGATAGTGGGTATATTAAAGTCCCAAACAATACGCTTATTCGACCATATAGCCATGGCTTTCATCTTATCCTGCAATTAGGTTTCATCTTCAAATACTTTTTATTGGGGTTCAGTGCACCGTTAACATATAGAGGCTTTGGGAGCCCGTTGCCCTTCCATTGGACCTTAAGCAGTTTTCATAGCAATTTTGTTCCTGAAATAGGGAAACCCGTTTGTACAACTCCTGATTAGTCTGTATTCCTGGGTTGTTTCTGTCTCTATGGAACAGTCCTTATACACGTAGTTCAAGCTCTCCATGGGCAATATATTCCGACAACCATGTTTCTGCTATTGGAATAACGTCTGTAAGGAGCTCGCATACATTCATTTTCGAGAGTATTCCTTGTGCCTGCGTGCGTCAGCCCGGAGCTTATTTGAGACCGACTTATTACGCTGACGCACTATACTGGAGAAGCTGTGCAGTCATATACATCGGCTTGATGCAGGAGTGGATGGAAAGTCATTTGACTGTCTTTGGTTCGCCATTGATTTTGCAACGTTTAATTCCTGTTGGCAGATGACCAATCTGCTCGCAGAATCACCCCCTTTTGTGAAGGTTATCACCGATGACCCCCGGAAAGGAGAAGTAGTATCTCATTTTTAGTGTTTTTAAGCAGTCCCGGTCGTTTCTAACTGGCGTTCTGAAAAATGATAAACCAAAAGGCGTTTTGGGTAGCCTCTGATTGCAGCAATTTTCATTGGGAACGTACTAAAATAAGTTTAATGCTGCAGCGGTTAGTTCGTTGGGGACTTAAAAATGGATTATATAAATAATAATAAATCGTATATTTAAGGCACAAGGGGCCCTTTCATTACAAACTTTGGGCTATCGTAAAAAGAAAAAAATACAAAATTGGTAATCACAGCTGCGCGCAAGCAACTGTATGACAACAGGAATTAGTAGAATGTTACGCGTGGTAAGATGGTAAGTAAGATCCGATTAACAACGAACTCCCTTATAAAATAATAGTCTGCGCAGTGAAAAAAACACCTTCATCGGTGGGTGAGTTCAGCGAGCCACCGATTTCCAAAAAAAAATGTTGAAGAAAAAAAACTGCCTTAATACGTAGCATGGTATGACATGATGCAGTTAGATGGGATCCTGCTGTTGAGGGTTCGGGACACTTTATTGTCATGGTAAAAATAATATAGCGGTGAGTTATGGGAGTGTTTGGATTATGATGCATTTAGACTTATCAGGGACATCTCTGACTATTGCGGATTTTTGTTATTTGTTGATTCCTTAGCTTCATCAGGGTGGGCTGATAAAACAGGGAAGACTGCTGAAGTATTCGGGTTGATTGTGCTCAGTGCGCTGTCTACAGTGCCTGCGCGTAGAGGGCTCTGGGGGATTTCCGACTCCGCCAAAGTTGAGGGTTTCGCATTTTGGAATAGGATTTCAGTTTGCTCTGGAAATTGCTTGTGAAGGTTATCTGAATTTTTCCCTTTCCGACTCCAGCGAATTTTTGGTGTGGTACTCCGAGCCGCGCTTCCAGGCTACTGTTTACGGGTGTCTCACACGCCTTTTGAGTGCTTTCTGGGGTTTCAGTATGCATAATGCACCTCGCTTAGTTCCGAGTTAATCTTTGCGTAGTAATCATCAGTGAGTTCACTGGAATAAGAGTCCTGTTGATAAATTTCGTCAAGTTTTTTACTCCTTATTCTAGTTGATTCAACTTGGCGGTTATCAATGGGCATCCCTAACATCAGTTTGGTCAATACGTCAGCTGTGATGAAGTTAATATATTTTGAGGACGCCTTTCCTAATATTCGTCGCCAAGGCGCACATCCTTTTTATCTTATAAGTTCGCTCAAACAACTACAGGCGGGCTTAACTTTATTTCCTAGTACACATCTGGCACGCATTAAAAGCATATTATCTTTATAGTCGTTTGCACACTTAATAATAATAAATTGTATATTTAAGGCCCAAGGGGCCCTTTCATTACAAAC